ATAATACTAAATATATATATATATATATATATATATATTCTAGTTCTACCTCTATAAATTTGAACATGAAGTCGTGAAAAGAAATGTCATATTTATAATATTTATAAGTGTAAATGGTCCATGGGCTTGGCCATACCCAACTGAAACTCTGTTTATTCATTTAATATTGATGTTAAATGCTTACCAGCCAGTCAGCCACAAAGTCGTCGAAATGATTCACAAATTTATTTACGTATTCAAATGGAAGAGTTGGTGATTTCTATCATTTTTCCAAAGATAGAGTAAGTGATTTTCATATTAGTGTGTGCGACGAATAACTTATATTATTATATAATGTATGGTCTTGTTATATAATCATTTTTAATGTTTACACGATTTGATTTTGATGATTATAATAAAATTTATTAATTAATGTTCTTTTCACCTTCCCGTAAAAAAAACTTTCTCATTATATGTAGTTATATATATTATTGAGGAAGAGGGACTTGTGCTTATATATATATATTTTGATTAAAAGTAAAATAAAATATAAAAGATAAAAATAATAAAAGTGAATAATAGTAGGTAGTAGGCGGTTAGAACATGCAAGTAGTTTTAGAGTAAAATAGAGAAGGAAAAAAATATTAGAAAAGTACAAAAGGAAAAAAATGATATATCACCAGCCACTATAATATAAAAAAATAAAAAAAAAAAGTTGACAAACATCATTTAGAAAATAAGAATATTGTATGCGCTGCACGCTCACCAAAACATTTGTTTAAATAATAAATATATTCCTTAAGATGTATTTTAATTCATTTTTATGATTAGTTATCTTAAAATGTCTATGCACTCTTTAAAACCCAACATCTTTTTGCAAAAAAATTAAATTAAAGCTAACTGAATGAAAAAAGAATAATGTTAAACTTATATCTGAATATCTTACCACTCATTCTCATTCTATTTATTCTCTCAATCGCTTTCCATCATCTCATCACATCATTTTTTTTTTTTTTTGATATCATCACATCTCATATTATATCTATTTTCTCCCACTTCTCTCTTTCCATTTTCTCATCACATAACATATTAATATATATCTATTTTCTCTCTGTCCAATGGTCCTCGAGGTGCATTCTTCATAAAGAGGTGTATTATTTGACTTTTTATTCAATATTTATCAATAAGTTCATTCTTACTTATACTATAAATATATTAGACATATAGATTATAATAATACATATATTGGTCGAGTATCATCGGCTTGGACCTTAACTTGATAAAAATGGATAAGCAAATCACAACAAGCAAAGCACACTGTTTGGTGTTAGCATATCCAGCACTAGGCCACATCAACCCCATGATTCAACTCTCCAAGCTATTGGAACATCAAGGGGTGAGAATAACTTTTGCAACAACTCGTTTCTACTCCAAGAATTCGCTAAAGGTACCTCCTTCTATGGCACTCGAAACCATTTCTGATGGGTTCGACGACGTTAGGCCGACACAGGGCGAGACCAGCAAAGCCTACGTAGACCGGTTTTGGCAAGTTGGGCAAGAAACTCTTGCTGAACTTCTCGAGAAACTTGGTGAATCGAAAAACCATGTTGATTGTGTTGTTTATGACAAGTTCTTCGCTTGGGCACTAGATGTTGCCAAGAGGTTTGGAATAGTTGGAGCTGCTTATCTCACTCAAAATATGACTGTGAATAATATATACTATCACGTTCAGTTGGGAAAGTTGCGTGCTCCTCTCGCAGAGCATGAGATTTCACTCCCTAAGTTGCCTAAGCTTCAACACGAGGACATGCCATCTTTTTTCTTTACGTATGCACAAAATCCAACTCCCTTTGATTTTGTTGTGTCTCAGTTCTCCAATATCGACAAAGCTGATTGGATCCTGTGCAATACGTTCTACGAACTGGATAAAGAGGTAATTATCAAGAAGATACTAATTAAATTTACATATGTTCTATACAGGATTAATAGTATTAATTTTTAGTTACTAAAGAAAAATGGGTTACTTTTCATTTTAGTGCCAAAATTTTACTTTTAAATACATTTGTTTTAAATATCGTGACTAGAATTACATGACTTGTTTTTTTTAGATGAGAAATACCCAGCAACACCTGTACTACGGTATTATTATTATTTATTATTATTATCATCACTCACACATTTTTTATTATTAGCTAAAATTTATTAAAAATCTTAAATTTTGTGAACTCTACATCTCATTTCATAAGTCTATTACTCTATTTCCTGATATAGTGGTAACATTCAATGAAATTTGTAATTTTCAACTAATAATAGTAAAAATGTTATTATTAACAATTTTTATATCTATTTAGTTATGGGTTTGACCTTGCACTAATAAATATAATAACTTGGGTGAAATTTTGGTACATGCATAGTGCATACATATACGTTTATATTTTTAATTTTAGAATAGTTAATTTAAGCTTAATTCAACCTTACAAAATCAGCTTGAAAGGTGAGGGTTGCTTCTCACTTATATACTATTTAGTTGTCTAACCTCTAGTCAATATGAGACTTGGGTCTTTCCCAATACAACCCCTCACATCCAGCATTATTGGGCTTGATACGTGAATAAATGATGGGTAACCCTTTTAATGATCTAGGATTGACAAGACTTGAGTTTTTCTCAATACGCCCCCTCATGCTCATAACGCATGTATCAATAGTTGGTGGCCCATTTGTAAGGATCTAGGATAGTTCTGATACCATCTTAGAATAGTTGATTTAAGCCTAACTCAATCTTACAAAACTGGCTTATAAGGTGAGAATTATTTTTTACTTATATACTATTTAATTACCTAATCTCTAGTCGACGTGAGACTTGAGTCTTTTCTAATATAATGTTTTGTTATTAATAATTTTTCAGATAATAGATTGGTTCACTGGAGATTTGGCCAAAATTTAGGACCATAGGACCAAACATACCATCTATGTTCTTAGACAAGAGATATGAA